GGGAGAGCTTCAGCTGCTGTGACAGTCTGACAGAGGGTGGGTGGAAGGGGTCCAGTGGGGGGTGTGAGGGGGTGGAAGTTACTGCAGGGGCAGGTGGGAGGGAGGGTTAGTTAGGAGTACAGCCGGGGAGTTAGAGATCCTGGACGGACGTGAATAACTGAGCGCCGTGTGTGACAAAGTGTGAGACGCCAAACAAATCAGCGGCGCCGGGTCAATATTTTGGTCCCAGATCCACATTAACCTGTCGTTAAATAATTTAACACGCCGCCTCACCTTGTGTGAGTCAAAGTGAAATAAAGTGTCGCCGCCGCCGTCGTAAAGCGTCGACAGAGCATGGATATTTCTGTCAGCACTTTGAAGGTTGCCGGAGATTTTCATGGTCAGCGCGGCTTTACGGAGCGGCCGCCGTGCCGTAGCAGCGGCGAGGAGCTCGGTGACATCCAGATTTTTATCTGTGCTTTCTGCCCGTGGTGTTGCTGCACCGCCATTACAATCTGGGACAGTTCGCAGCATGAATGTAAAGTAGCTGATCAGCAGCAGTCCTGCAGCTGCCGCTCTGGAAACAGTCAGTCAGACAGTCGGTCAGTCAGTCAGACAGTCAGTCAGACAGTCAGACAGACAGTCAGGCAGTCAGCCAGTCAGTCAGACAGTCAGTCAGACAGTCAGACAGACAGTCAGGCAGTCAGCCAGTCAGTCAGACAGTCAGTCAGACAGTCAGTCAGACGGTCAGTCAGTCAGTCAGACAGTCAGTCAGTCAGTCAGGCAGTCAGTCAGTCAGTCAGACAGTCAGACAGACAGTCAGGCAGTCAGCCAGTCAGTCAGACAGTCAGTCAGACGGTCAGTCAGTCAGTCAGACAGTCAGACAGACAGTCAGTCAGACAGTCAGACAGTCAGTCAGTCAGACAGTCAGACAGACAGTCAGGCAGTCAGCCAGTCAGTCAGACAGTCAGTCAGGCAGTCAGTCAGTCAGACAGTCAGACAGACAGTCAGTCAGACAGTCAGACAGACAGTCAGTCAGACAGTCAGACAGTCAGTCAGACAGTCAGACAGTCAGTCAGACAGTCAGACAGTCAGACAGTCAGACAGTCAGTCAGACAGACAGTCAGTCAGTCAGTCAAACCGGGCTGATCCGACGACCCCGGCGCTGGCGGTCGATGTTTTTTTTTTTTTTCCTGGTCTGTGAGGTTAAAAGCATCGTTGGCTTCGACTTCCACTGTGGAGAATAGTTAAGATGGAAAAGTCTTTGGAAAGTTTTCCATCTTGATGCTGATGCTGTTGGAGTTCCTGAGCTGCAGCTCCACTTTGGAAACATTATGACAAACGCTTTCAATTTCCAGCGTTTGGATTTAACCAGACGTTGAGTCAGACTCACTCCTCTTTATTCCTAAGGTGAATTAAAGGTCTCACTCTCACTGCATCTCACGCTCTCTGAGGTTGTGTCGGGGTTTTTTTTTGGGGGGGGGGGGGTTTACGCCTTTTTAAAAATATCTGTCCCTCCAAGTACCAGCAGTTTATTTCCTCAGATTAAAGTTCAGCTGAGACCAGAGTTTGAGGAAAATAATTTATTCCTAATTAAATTATCAGACCATTTATCAGGGAAAGACACACTGTCCAATGATGTAGCACTACAGCTGAGGACACACACACACTCTCACACACACACACACACTCTCGCTGGTGCTCAGTTCAGCTGGTTCACTGCTGGTCACATTAATATTCTCCTCTGGTTTAAACTTCTCTTCTTCAGAGTTCCACTTCCAGCACCACTGCAGTGTTTTCAGGCCTATCTCTTTGGTTTTTTCTTCAAGTACCACTAGAGGGAGCCCAAGTGCCCCCGGTGGTATCTTAACGCCTGACGTTCCACTCGGTGTCTCTCCACAGATGCACTCCCTGCGCCTCCTCAGCCAGAACGAACCCTACAAGATCTTCATGAGCATGAGCGACAACACGCGGCCCCCGCAGCCGCTGCTGCAGCGCTGCATCAGAACCAACATCAACTTCAGCAAACAGGGCCGCGACTGCCCCAACAACAGGGCCCTGCGCCCCCAGTACAGAGGTAAAGATGGAGCTGTCTGAGGACGGGGACGAGTCAGAGTCAGAGACGAGGACCAGTCAGTGTCTGAGGACGAGGACCAGTCAGTGTCTGAGGACGAGGACCAGTCAGTGTCTGAGGACGAGGACCAGTCAGTGTCAGAGGACGAGGACGAGTCAGTGTTTGAGGACGAGTCAGTGTCAGAGACGAGGACCAGTCAGTGTCTGAGACGAGGACCAGTCAGTGTCAGAGGACGAGGACGAGTCAGTGTTTGAGGACGAGTCAGTGTCAGAGACGAGGACGAGTCAGTGTCAGAGGCTGAGAAATCCTGATTTCAGAGACGAGGACGAATCAGTGTCAGAGACGAGGACCAGTCAGTGTCAGAGACGAGGACCAGTCAGTGTCAGAGACGAGGACGAGGTAG